CCCCTCCTATTCCCCATGTCCCAAACCCCTTTATTCCCTTCTCCCTCATGTATGCATCATGTTTTCTCTTAAACGCATTGATACTTTTTGCTTCAACCACAGTTTCTGACAGTGAGTTCCATGCTTTCACCACCCTCCGAGTGAATTTAACATAACATAACATGTAGGAGCAGGAGTAGGCCTGCCCCACCATTCAATCATGGCTGATCTTCTAATCTAACTCCAGCTAATAACCTGACCCTGCCTTATCCCCATATCCCTTAATCCCATTTGCAATAAGAAATCTATCTATCTCAGTCTTGAATATGTTCAAGGACTGAGTGTCAACAGTCCTTTGGGGTAGTGAGTTCCATACATTCACTACCCTTTGAGTGAAGAGGTTCTTCCTCAACTCAGTGTGAAAGGGCTGGCTTCTGATTTTAAGGTTCTGACCCCTGGTTTTAGTTTCTTCAACCAGGAGAAACAATCTCCCACTATCTACTCTATCATGCCCTTTGATAATCTTATAGGTTTCAGGTTATAGGTTACACTTACAATTGTGTGCAAATTAAGTTTTGAAAGAGTTGACAAGAACAGAATAAAACCCGCGAGGGTTTGCAAAAGAATTTGTGATAACTGAACGCTCCAGGTACCAGATGGGACGATAGGTGTGCCCAGGGGTCAGTCAGAGATTTCAGGGATGATTCTGGGTACCCATAGGACTCCCTGTTTGTGATTCCTTTTGCAGATCCAGTAAATTCTCTGTAATGTGGTAATGCTGGTTCTGGGATTCTGGGATCTACTCTTTGTCAGATCTATACTGAGAGACTTGTGGTTCAGAATTTGTTGCATGAGAATAGGGGCACGAGGAAGGGGAAGAAGATGACAACAACAATAATAAATTACATTGTCCGGGACAATGTCCTAAAGTGCTGAACAGTCAAGGATGTGCACCCGAGCTGGGGTTGGGATCATGAGGGGTAGAGGGCAGGGAGGGTGGGCAACGAAAGTGACCAAAGGTATGGTTGAAGAGGAAGGTCTTGAGATGGATCTTGAAGGAGGCAAGGGAAAGGGCGGGTGAAGGGACAGAATGATTTCGTTCTGCGTTTTTTTTGTAGTCAAGGCAAACTAGTATCAAATCGACGAAACGAAAAGTATATAAGTAACTAAAACAAAAAAAACCAAGAGGGTTGGAAAAAAACTGGGAAAAATAAAAAAATATTTTGAAAAATTGAGGCAATGCCAAGATACAAAATGGGATTGCCTTGTGCTTGCAGTGTCTGGATCAACGAGCTTGGAGTCAGAACCAGTTGTTTCTGTGAAAGGCGCTATACAAATGTAATTTTGTTGTTTCCTGGGTGAACCACATCTGAACAGTAAATGACAGTACTGCAGTGCTGGGGGAGGGCTGCAATGTTGGATGTGTCATCCTTCATATTAGACTTTAAATCAAACTCCTGTCTCTTTTTGAATGGTGCCATGAGAGATTTAACACTGGTCAATGTTAAAAATCTCACGGCCCTAGTCAAAAAAGAAGGGAGTTTCTCCCCCGTGTACTGGCCAACAATCCCCCAAATAACAATGGTCATTCGCTCCATAGCTGTTTGCAGGACATTGTTGGGCGCTAATTGACTGAAACATATTTCCTTCAAATTACACTTTACAGCAATTCCATGTGAAGCACTTTGAGGACTTTCAAATGTCAGAGGCACTGAAATTACTATGATTTCTAATGATGACATAATCACAAGTACTTTTTGTTCCTTGTAGTGTTGAAGCACCCTTTCAAAACTACATTTGTTAAAAGTAATGTCTCAACACACAAAGTAAAGAGTGCTCGCACTTGTACAATGTAAAGGAACCCATGACTAACAGGGTGTGACAGAAGAGCTATTAGACTGTTTTGCAAGGACAGTGGAAACCCACTACTCAGCTATTCACGGGGCCTTTATCACCTTAGAATTTTTATGGGGATTTTCGCTTTATGAATTCACATTTTTGCACAGGCTTGCTTGGCTTTGTGCCAAGGCTCAAGTTTAATTAAAGTCATAATTCAGTTTTAAAACAATTCATTGTTTCTTTGTCTTTTATTGTTATCATTACCAGGGAATGTTTTTCTCATTGCCAAGGCGAGACAAAAGCTTGCAACTGAAACAACAAAGAACCCTCAGATGCCTGGTGAACTGACAGCGGCTGAGTTCACCAGGGCTTATAATGATCATATGCTGACTTTGACTTGTAAAACTGAGTTCTAGAAAACAGGTTTGCTACATGATGTAGAAAGTGGAGTCTGGTTAGAGCGCTCGCTTCACAAGCGAGAGGACCTGGGTTCGATTCCCGGGCAGAGCAAAATCTCAGGCAAGTTTTTTTACTCCACATGCCTCTGTTTACCGAGCGGTAAGTAGCAACCTGATTGTTAGTTGATTAGCGCATCGCTTTTCGGGGGTAATAATTCCTTACAAAAATGTGGTCACTCAATCCACAATTGTTTGTGGGACACTGCTGTGGGCAATTAACCACTGCTCTGGGATACGCCCCAGAGTGGAGACCACTAAATAAATGCAAGTTGTTGTTGATTTGCCCACAAAATATAAAGTCAAATTCACTTTACAGTTTCTCAGTTCTGATGAAAGGTCAATGACCTGAAACGTTAACTCATTTTCCTCTCTCCATGGATGCTGTCTGACCTGCTGCGTGTTTCCAGCGACTTCTGTATTTACACCAGATTTCCAGCATCTACGGTACTTTGCCTTTCACTTGACAGTATATCCTGTGAAGCATTTTGAGACGACTCAACGACCTGATAAGGCATGTCAAATACAAGGATTATTATGATCATAAAGTGCTCAGTGTGTACAGTTTAGGTGCTGGGTACTCACAGAGCAAGACAAAGGAAACCTCTTTGTGGGGTCTAATTTGCAGCATCTTTTTGATAAGAATTGTCAAGGTCTTGAAGAGGGTACAAAGGAGATTTACCAGAATGATACCAGGGATTAGGGATTTCAGTTATGTGGAGATACTAGAGAGGCTGGAAATGTTCTCCTTAGAACAGAAAAGGTTGATGGGAGATTTAATAGAGTTGTTGAAAATTATGAGGGGTTTTGATAGAACAGATAAGGAGAAACTGTTTCTACTGGCAGTTGGGTTGGTATAAGAGGACACAGATTTAAAATAATTGGCAAAAGAACCAGAGTGTTGTTATAATTGGAATGCACTGCCTGAAAGTTGGTGGAAGCAGATTGAATAATAACTTTCAAAAGGGTACTGGATACATACTTGAAAAGGAAAAAATTGCAAGGTGAAAGAGCTGGGGAGTGGGAGTAGTTGGATAGCTCTTTTAAAGAGCAGGCAGAGGCATGATGGGCCGAATGGTCTCCTGTTTTGTAGGATTCTATGATTCTGTGAACATTGAGGTGGGAATGGCTGTTACAAGAAAGGAAACCATTCAAGATTCAGTTCACTAGTTTGTGAATCTCAAAGGCATGTTACATAGGAACTCAAAACCAAACATTGAACACGTTTCCTGAGCTCTCCTGTTTCATGTTGCTGACGTCTGGTATAACCATCAGCATTATAGTGCCAACAGTTAATATCTCAGGGAACTCAAAAGGCCTGAAACATCATTTAATTATAGTCTGTAAAGCCATTTTGTCTTTTAAGTGCTCTGAGGCACTACCCACATGAAGAGTGCTATATAAATACCAGTTGTTTTTGTTGTTAAAATTTACGATCATGCAGAAATGTGGAAAATCGTGGAAAATTCTTAAATTCAGCCTTCACTTGGAAGACGAAAAACACAGGGTTTTGTCAGCCTGTTCCAGTGACCAATAAAGTTGGTCATTCACTTTATGGCTGTTTGTGGAACATTGCTGTGCGCATATTGGCTAGTGTATTCACCTACGAAACATATAGTGACTACACTTTACATTATATCCGGTGAAGAGCAGTGACAACCACCTGACGTGAAAGGCGCTATACCAAATGTAAGGATTATTAGGATTATTATCTAATGTTAAATTCCCATGGCACTATTCAAAAAATGTGTTTCTCCATGTCTCTCCAGGTCAACAGTCCCAGATAAATAAGTCATTCTCTTCATTGCTATCTTTGGGACATTGATATTCACAAAATGACTGCCACGTTTGCCTACAAAAACATACTCAATTACACTTTTGAGCGATTCCCTGTAAAGTGCTTTGAGATGATTGACTGATGTAGGTGCTACATCCAAAGCAAGGATTATTATCATCACAGCAATTTCACCCCAGGTTACCAAGCATTCATTAAGACTGAAATTAAAATATATTAATCCAAACTTGGCAGCTTTCCACGAGCGAGCTGGCCAGTACAGAAAAGTTAACTGTTAAATTAAGTAACATACGATTAAAATCAATGTGATTTCATGTTATTTCACTTTTTTGCAAGAACATGTGTTGCTGATCATGAAGACTTGGGTCCAGTATCTAAGGACATATGACTGGATTTGAAGTGCAACTATATTTCAAAGTATGAATTATGGCTTTTATTGAAATTTAACCCAGTTCTATGTTATATCCTGGTGGAATCCTGTAGCGTAGTGGTTAGCGTGCTCACTTTGCAAACAAGAGGATCTGGGTTCGATTCCTGGGCAGGCCAAAACCTTACGCAAGTTTCCTTACTCCAGACTCCTCTGTTTACCTAGCAATAAGTAGGAACCCAGTTGTTAGTTGATTGGCGGGTCACTTTCCGTGGTAATAATTCCTCTGGCAAAAAATGTGGTCACTCAATCCATGACTTTTTTTGACACAATTCTGCGTGCAATGGCTGCCAAATTTCACGCACCAAATACACAATCAATCCATTTTACAATATGTTCTGTGAAAAGCTTTGAAACGTCTCAACGGAATATTAAGGCGCTATATCAAATGCAAGGATTAATATTATTATTATTATTTAACGCATGCCGATCCTGGATTCACTTCACTTTAGAAACAAACAAATGTATTTATTTCTATTTATGCAGGGCCCCTCAATCAACTCACCTTCTTCCGCGCCTGCTGTTCTTTTGTGGAATGTGCCTTCACGTGCTTTCTGAGGGAGCTTGGGTCCGTGTACCGCTTAGTACAGCCCGGGATCTGACAGGCGTATGGTTTCTACAGAAAAAAACGGAGAGAACAACAGCAGCTTTAATGTGACAGACTCAAGCTCATCATGAGGTCTCATCCTCTGCACTGCACACACTCTTTATCCTGGTCTCTGACTAATCATCTTCACTTGGATCTAAAGCACAATGCCATGCAAAAAACAGAAAGACAGGTTTACCGATCAACATTCGTTTACCAACAGAGCAAATAACTGAGTGGTGCATCTAATGTGATAGCATGTGAGTCATCAAGCAGGCAGGAAGGGTGATGTCTTCCTCCTGCTCAGATCCCTCCACCCATCCACCCACCAGCAGTTGAGACTCGCCTATTCCCTGCTCTCTACCTTTTAACCTCTTTAGGATTTGAATCCGTTTTCATTTCCCTGAAAGCTCTTGCAGCTGACTTTGGCGATTATACTTACAATCATTTGAGCCCCTGAGACTATGAGGCATAGTCAGAAACGATTAGCAACAGAAAGCGGTTAGGGATTCAGCTCAAGAGACAGCAGAAAGATCCACTCAATGGTACCTGATCACTACAGGAGAACAACAACTGGGAAAGACAGAGAGAGAAAAGGTAGAGATAAGAGTTTAGTTTTGATGTGTGTAAAGAGAGGGGTTCAGAAAGCAAGTTGTTTTTGCAAACAGTTTTGAGCAACTTATTGACTGCCATGGCCCCACCTGCAGTGACAAATGATTTCAAGGGGAAGAGCAATTCTAGGCACTTTGTGCTTCCCGCACCAATAGTGTCGTGACCCATTCTATTTTGTTCAGTAAGTTTAGCAAATTTTCACTTATGAATAAAAGTAAACCCTTTTTTTTATCATAAATGACAAGAATATTAATGAACGCAGAATAAAATTATGCTGGCTTTATCTTTCAGGGTTACCAGGAGCTGAGTGGGAAGAATCTCTAATCTGTCCTTTCAAGTCCTGCTGTTGAACCAGACTGGTTGATCTGTCATCAGCAGTGCACTGCAGTACTGCGGACCTGCCTGGCTCAGGAACCGGACTATCAAAATCACCACAGAGGGTTGATTCACTTCCCGCATTACTTTACCGAGCATGTCGCATTGGAGCCAGCTCAGTTCCAAAGAGTTCCCACTTACCTCGAGGAGGATTTAAATCACATTACAGTTATTTATAAGTGCACTGGGACAAATGGAACTGAAAAGCCCCATATCAATAAGTTGGCTGCAATGGAGAACATGAAGAAGGCCTGCCCATGGATTGGCTGTGACTGATGGATGCTTAAAGAGGAGAATAACTCTTTTGGTGTTCACTGGAAACCAACCACAATTGGATAACAACTGTTTGGGCTTTGGAAGTCTCAAGATTTTTCCAAAATATCACTCCTTTGAAAAATGCCCATGCATTGGGGATTTAGGAGGTGATTTTGAACTGCGTTGTTAAGTGTGAGAATGTGCAATTTAGAGTGAAATTTTTTCCGTTATATTTCCAATTCATTTGAAAGCTAGCGCTTAGCCACAAGCAAAATATCTCACCAGGGAGGGAGATAGGGTAGGAGAAATCTATTTGTGGGTAAAATGTATACTGGTGTGCACTTGAATTCCCAATATAAACTTAAGGTGCGAACTTTAATAACCAGCAGAGTTGTGTCCAATTATATTGACATTGTAAAGTGTTTTTGTTGCAGACAAGAGAACAGTCAGTGGGGTCCTGAATATGACCCTACACAAGAGGAAAGAGTCAGGTTAGGCTGAAAACCCTTTCCTTCTCACTGTCATCTCAAATTGGCTTGACTTCTTTTGGAAATCATTAAACATTTGAACATGTTGGCTGCACTAAGGTTAACAGAAGCAGTGGGGTTAGAACTTTTGTTTTGTGACACTAGGTCAGTTGGCATTGGTGACGTACCTAAGGCTAAGAGTTTCTGAATTGAATGCAAAGAAACTTGAGGGAGATTACAGGACTTCTATAATGGGTAATGTTCTGGACTCAGATAAACCAGATCCACATCTCCAGACTCATGGATCTCAAACCCACTCATGAGCCAGATGGTTATTTGCATTCTGGAGGCTTTGTGTGATCCCTTTGGAGTTCAGAGAGCATCTACTCAAAGCTTGTCAGGAGAGAATGGGTAGGGTGGTATCCTCAAGGAGGAATGTTTCTGTGGACAGTGGAACAACTGACTTTTACAGAGCAAATATCATTTTCTCATTCCAAACTTACACACTCCTTCACAACCTGTCACACTTGTTCTGGTACAACCCAGTATTTTATGGGAATATGGGTTAAACAACATGTTTAACCAAGTATGCATACTCCACCTTACTAAACCAGTCCGGAACTTTGGAATCTTGTTTGACCCTCAACTATCCTTTCTACCCCACATCCATGCCATGTCCGGCTCTGCCTTCCCCCATCTACGCAACATTTCCAGGCTCTGCCACTGTCTCACACTGCAGACCACCGAGAACCTCATTCATGCATTCATAACATCCAGGCTCGACTACGCAAACTCCCTGCTTGTTGGCCTCCCCAACTCCTCCTCCATAGGCTTCAGATCATTCAGAAATTTGCAGCCGGTGACCTCTCCTGCACCAGGCTCCGTGACCCTATCACCCCAATCGTTGCCCGATTCCACTGGCTTCCCATCACACAGAGGGATCAAGATTCTGGTTCTCACCTTCAAAGCCCTCCACGGTTTTGCTCCCCCCTACCTCTGCGATCTTCTAATCCCCGACCAACCTGCCCGCTCCCTCCGCTCAGTGGGCTCTGGCCTGTTTCACGTCTCCTGACTCACCCTCTCCACCATTGGTGGGTGAACTTTCAGCCACTCTGCCCCCACCCTCTGGCAACTCCATCCCACAATCCCTTTGCCTCGCCTACTCCCTTGCCTTCTTCAAGACCCATCTCAAGACCCTCCTATTTGACTGTGGCTTAGGTCACCCTCCTTCACCTCCCGCCCTCCACCCTCCTGATTCCGACCCCAGCTCGGGTCCGAAACACTGATTATCCAGCACCTTAGATCATCCTCTCATTGTGAAAGACGCTATACAAATGTATTTTGTTGTTGTTGTTTAATTATTCAAAAGTTACAATAATTTAATGGTGACCAATAATTTAATTTAACAATGATTGAATTTAATAGTGATCGATGATTTAGTGGTGGCAAAAATTTACATTGCCCTAAAATTGTTGAACAACATAGAGTTTACCCCAACTTTTTTTCTCTAGCAAAAATAAAATAGAACGGGGGATGGGGATGGAAGAATCGGTTTGGTGGGGTTTAATTTGATGATATTCATTTTTGCAATAATAATAAAATTAATAATAATAATAATAATCCTTGCATTTGATATAGCACTCTTCACGTCGGGAGGACGTCCCAAAGCGCTTCACAGAATATACTGTAAAGTGAATTGACTGTATATTTGTAGGCGGACACGGCAGCCAATTGCGCACAGCAGCATCCCACAAACAGTCGTGGATTGAAAATGACCAATTTATTATTGTTTTGGGTTTTGGAGGGATTATTATTAAGCATGTGGAGTAAGGAAGCTTCCACAAGATTTCGCCCTGCCTGGAATTGAACTCAGGTCTCTCGCTTGCAAAGCGAGTGCTCTAACTACTGAGCTACAGAACTAATGCTTGCATTTGATATAGCGCCTTATTACGCCTTCTAGACATCTCAAAGCATTTGTATTCGTTGCACTAATTGCAACTTCCATTTTATGAAATTTGCAAATTGTGACCCTTAATCTGACAAAATCCGAACAAAGGCAATGAGCAAACCTGAGCCTTTTCCCACTTTGCTAATTGGGAAACTGAGAGCTGCTTATTCCAATGCCCAGAACTTACAATTCAGATATTAAACCCATTTGTGAATATAAGCGTTAGAAAATAACAATACATTAAATTTGTATCGTGCCTTTCGTGTCGGAAAGATATCTCAAAGTGCTAACCCAGACATCCTCAATAAACATTGGGAAAGCTGAATTAGGAGTGGCAAATGAGTTGAACAAAAGTAATTTCATCTACAATATGATAGTTATGATTTTCAAAACAATTTCTCCAAGGAAAAATGTTGCTACATTTATATTATTAGTGCCGTTGGAAATACGGTTAACGTTAATAAATAGGATTGAGGCAGTTTACATCACGCAGAAGCATTACATCTTATTCAAAAGCCAACAGAGGGCATCAATTGCTCTGTTCCTTTTGTGATTAGTGCTGTAGAATTTTACACTGATTAAAAGAAGGTGTTAGAATAAATTAGAGATGGAAGCAGAGAGAAGTGTTAGTTCACAATTCTGGCTCTTCATCATGCAATCTGAAAGATTAGGTTTGGGAGTGATATGGATCATGGGATCTTACTGTGTCTAAGTGTGTCCTCTGATGCTTGGCTCTGTCGCTGGAGTTGCTGAAGGCCTTTTGGCAGCCTGGATGCTGACATAGGTAGGGCTTTTCCCCAGTGTGGCTTCGTAGGTGAATCTTGAGATTTTCGAGTCTTGAAAAAGCCTTATTGCAGCCTTCAAACTGCAGAGGAAGTTGAGAGAAACTATTACTTCACGAAAAACAAAACTGCTAATTTCTCTGCAGTTTTTTCAACACTTCCAGCAGCAACATATATTTCTTACACCTCAGTATCCAACTTACTTTCTTAATGTTTTATTTGGTCAATCAGGGGTCTGATACATGGGGAAACCCATCACCATTCTTAAGAGTATCCAAATCAGATAGTTCCATATGTGTATGCCACCTTCACCTGGAAATCTCCCTGTGTCCAGAATGGGATGCAAACTCTCTCCTTGGAGGGATGATTCCCACTGATCAATATGTGCTGCCAATCTCTACCTTTGCTCCTAGCTTCCTGCCAAACCATTGATTCACACTAGGTGTAAGGATGAGCACTTGGGCTGCATGTTACTATTATTGATGACCTCTGGAGAAAAAAGTGGGAGATTTCAGGATATGATGAAAACCTTTTGTTGCAAGCATTCCTCCTCTGCTACCTCTTATAATATAAATATTTAATTAAAATGCATTGACTCCAAACAAGTGAACGTCTGAAAGAAGCTGCTGTACATTTTCGAAGATTGTTAAAATGCAATAATTTGCTGATTTAGTATTTTATATCCTAATAAAATGCTAAAGTAAACAGAAACAGTTTCACCTCTGTTAGCTGAACATGAAGAAGAAAGAATTGGAGGGACATAGGAGAGGGGAATGGGAGTGCTTGGGGCTCATATAGAGTATCAATACTGGCAAGGACTACTTGGGTCAAATGATCTATTTCTATGACCTATCACTCTAGGTAATTCTACACAACAGACTGTAAATTATACTAATTAAATTGTTTGGCCAATAACTATATTTTTATTAAATAATCTTTGCTTTACAGACTTGTTTTTAGCATTTTATTTATAACTGTGAATAAATTAAACAAAATGTATTATCGTGAGCTTACGATATTAAAATACTTCCAAAGAAATTAAATTAGTGGTGAGTAGCTCTTGTAATATTGCTATTTGTAATGTATTGCTTATAAATGAAATACCAACAGAAATTGTAAACAGAATATTTGCATTTTGTTGATACAAATAAAATCTTATAAATATGGATGCAAAATAATTCAACATAAAAATCAGCCAGAGCCACAATTAATTATTTTTGATAATAATAGAGAAATGTATTAATAATGAATTTATTGTGAATATGCTCTCAGTAAACTGACTCTGGTACTGGCATTTGCAATTGGTAAGATTGGTTTTAGCAAGATACAAATTTGACAAAGAGGCATGAGCCTGGTTTGCTGAATTGCTTGGGACTGTAATAGATTGTGTGATCGAGTACCTATTGTGTAGCTAAGTGCTAGTCCTAGAGCAGCTCATGTTTAAATGATACAACACAGGCATTTAAGATGGTTTGGGGGGCTCTCATTAATTAACTTAAGTTACAACATAAGCCGAGGCTTCATGGTTCACTACGTGCTCTTAGTCACAGAGAGGATTAAAGCTTGTGGGAAAAGGACAAAGAAAACCCACAGCAATGTGGTTTGAAAGGACCATCTCATATCTAAGATCTGGTTCATAACTTGGCTCATAACATCGCAACATTTCTGAGGATTAGGTGATGTAAAAAAATTAAGTCAATAGCAAGACGTTGTCTGCAGAAGATGTCTTTACAGTCAACCAACGCTTCACTCACATTCTTCAAGGGCCCACTCTAGGTTGGAAACAGCTTAGTGTCAGAATATTTACAAAGGGCTGACTTCATTCCCACTGCAGCCAGTTTATGGGAGATCCTCCAGCTCACATTCCAATGGGGGAAACATTCTGCAAGTATTAAACCGAGCGCACTACTTCGTCTGGTGCAGCTTAGCTCACTTAACCATCAACGTGACCTTTCTCCTCAAGCTTCTAAAGCAATGTCCAGGACGGTATTTAAAAAAAAGGCTTTATTAGCTCAAGTTCTCCTCATTCTCCTCATGCCAGGCAACACATGTGGTGTCCAAGTATCTCAGAATATAAAACGACATTCAAACCTACTCCAAACTGGGTCGATTTAGATTTATTTGGAAATTACAATTAAAGCTTGATTTACACAAACAATTCAGAGGTGCTTCTCCTGTAATACCACCGAACATATACAACAGGACACTTTGAGAAGGTTCAGTTGCTCTTTGCAAGGCTTATGCTAATGTTGGAGACACCATGCCAAAAGCCTTGCATGGTCTGTGAACTTTTGCTTCAGCTGCTGTTATGAAGTGACAAGTGTATCCTAGATTGTTGAGGCTAATTGATGACTGTTGTTCTTTTGCTCCAGTGTGTGTTACCAATGTTGTTAGTTGATATTCAGATTGGTTTAATAACAATGCATCCTAGTACCCTGTGGCCAAGTAAGTCTGTTTTTGTTCTTGGTCTCAATTTCTTTTCTCACCATCTCAAAATATTGTGAAGGAGCAACAAACAAGGCAAACAGGAAGCTGGGCAATACTGCCAAATCAATTGAGTTTAGATTTTCAGATATGCAAGGAGAATAAGCAATTTTGGGGGGTTAAAAAGTAAGCAATGAATAAGCAATAAGCAAGCTGACAAGCTAGAGCCCTTCAGTCTTGAAAAGAGACCTCTCAGTGGGGACCCTATATATAGCTGTATATGATTATAAGTGGGATTGAGAAAGTAAACTTAGAACAACACTTTTGGTTAAATAAAATAAAAATACCAAATACATTCTTGCTTTTGATACAGTGCTCTTCACATCGGGAGGATGGCTCAAAGCGCTTGGCAGGATTCAACTTAAAGTGTAGTGACTGTCTATCTTTACAGGTGATGCATCGACACCAAGGACAAATGCACACAGATTAAACGTTGCAAAGTGGAATTTCAGAACAGACACCAGAAAGTATTTCTTTACCCAAAGGGTAATGAATGAGTGAACAGGTTACCAGGAAGGATGGTTACCACAAAATCAATTATGTACCATTTGTATTCAAAATAATGTTTGCAGTTTTATAATTTATAATTCATAACATGATAATATAACTATTGCTAAGGACCTTTATTATTGCAATTTGAGTGCAATTTTCAGTATCACAACATACAAGATGAATATCTACAAAACCAGTTAACCCAGGCAGACCGGAGTTTCCCTAGACCTATTCACAGTATAGTGTTACACTTACTAAACCTATTTCATTTGCCAGGTAATAGGCTAATAACTGCAATGAATTGTAAAGCAAAGTATCATAAAAAATATTTCTGAATTTCCTTGATGCCACACAGACATAAAATGTTTAATCTCTAGATTAGAGAAAAGGAGGGTAACAGGGATTTTCATAGATAGTAGACAGCATAGACAAGGTAAACTTGGAATGCAAAATCCAAGAAAGTGGGACAAGACACCATCAGGTTGGAGTCCTGTAGCTTAGTGGAGTCCTGTAGCTTAATAGTTAGAGCACATGCCTCGTAAGTGAGAGGACCTGGTTCGATTCCCGGCAGGGTGAAATGTTTCCTTACTCCACACGCCTCTATTTACCTAGCAGTAAGTAGGAACCCGGTTGTTAGTTGATTGGCAGATCACTTTCCCGGGGGTAATAATTCCTTCAAAATAAATAAAAATAATTTGGTCACTCAATCCATGGCTGTTTGTGGGACACTGCTGTGTGCAATTGACTGCCGCGTTTCACCCATAAAATATGCAGTCAATTCACTTTACACTATATTCTGTGAAGCACTTTGAGACGCCCTGAAGATATGATAAGGGGATATATCAAATACAAGTAATATTATTATTATCAAATTAAAATTAAACAAAGCAGAAAATTCTGTTCTGTTTTGGAAAAATAGAACCATAGAAATTTATGGCACAGAAGAGGCCATTCAGCCCATCTTGTCTGTGTTGCCTTCATCAAGAGCAATCCTTTCAATCTAATTTACCTGCCCTTTCCCCATACCCCTGTACCTGATTCCTTTAAAAGTACTTATCAAGTTCCCTCTTGAAGGCCAATATGGATTATGCTTCAACCACTGCTCCAAACAAGACATTTCATAGCCTAACCACTTTGTGTATGAAAACATTTCTCCTAACCGCCACAAACGTGTTTCCAATTAAGGAGTGATAAATATTTCAAACAGTTTACCAGGTGGGGCAATAATAGTAGAAACTTTTTCATAATAATGATGTTAATAATAATAATAATCCTTGCATTTGATATAGCGCTTTTCACATCTTCTAGATGTCTTAAAGCGCTTCACAGAATAGACTGTATAGTGAATTGATTGTATATTTATGGAGAAAACGCAGCAGCCAATTGCGCACAGCAGTGTCCCACAAACAGTCGTGGATTGAAAATGACCAATTTATTATTGTTTTGTTTTGGAGGGATTATTATTAGGCGTGTGGAGTAAGGAAACCTGCCCAAGGTTTCGCCCTGCCTGGAATTGAACTCGGGTCTCTCACTTGCAAGGCGAGTGCTCTAACCACTGAGCTACAGGACTCCATGATTCCAGGCCTCCATTCAAACAAACTGGATGTTATGGGGTGAGTTTTGGTGTCAGTGTGATATGTGCCCCTGAGTCACAAGGTTGTGGGTTCAAATCTTATGTCAGGACTTTGAGCTCATAGTCGAGGCCAAAGGATCTCAAACTGTGTTATACTGAGCCTCCCCAAGCTAAGAAAAATAACAATAGTGCTTCCCTGTAGTTTACGAAGGCAACACATCGTGGACCTGCTCAGTGTACATCCCAGTTTTAAATAAACAACATCATATTTTTGGCTCCTGTATTATGCTGGAAACTCCACTGCTGCTATTACTTTGTCTTGTGAGGTACCAGTATGTTTTTCTCCCATTGTCACAAAACAAGCCATTTTTCTAATAATTATTTCTGTTAGAAAAGAATTCTGCAAAATATTTCTCACAACTTTTTTTTAAATCAACAACGTCCTGCTTTTTTAAAAAAAAAACATATTTGTAGGCATGAGAGTCGGCTTGGCTGTCTGCACACATGAGTGAAAATGGTTCCCGCTTTAACCTT